TGAGCAGTCATGCTGAAGTACACACAATGTCCTAATCACACAATAAGCTCATCACTCAGGACATTCAGACTGCAGATGAACAACTTTATACCCCACCACTCACTCTAATGAAGACACAAAGAGAACATTTACTCACAGAGCATCACAGGGAGTGGACTGAGCTCCATCCTGTCTCTCTAATGACTGACTGACTGACTGACAGAGCAGAGGTGTGTGTTAAAGCCTTACCACTTCCTGTGTTCTCTTTTAAGGGGGGTGTGTGGTATGGGGTGGCACGCTTCTATTTTAGTGGACAAAGACACTGCAACTTCCTGTGTTCTTACAGAGAAAGAGAAAAAGAGAGAGAGAGAGAGAGAGAGAGAGAGAGAGAGAGAATGTACAGATATGTCACTTCAACATTTTAGTTGACACAGATGTGGTCGCTCCTGTTCCCCTTTTTTTCACATTAAGACTGTTTTAAGACTCACACTGTAGAACCTATAATGTTTCACTTTACTAGGATAAAAATCATTTGATTAAAGAATAACACACTGAGTAACAGTGCTGTAAATAGGCAAAATATCTAAATGTACATTATATTCTCACTGTCCACTTTATTAGAAACACCTATACACCATAATTCATAAACTCATGCAGTAAATTGTATTTCAGAAATCTCCTGGGATTTTCACACACAACAGTCTATATAGATTACACAAACAAAAAGACAGAAGGAAACAGCTTGTTGATGAGAGAGGTCAGAGGAGAATGGCCAGACTGGTTGGAGCTGACAGGAAGGCTGCAGTAACTCAACATGTGGTGGTGTAACAGGGTTAAAAATAAAATTTAATTTAAAGAGTAAAGATGTGTGAATTTCATAAAATAAGGGATTTGGTTGTATTTGTTGGTGTTCGAAGGCTCCCCTCCTGTGGCTGTTAATGGTATTGCAGATGTAGTTTTTTGTCCCTCTTCTCTTTCCGTACTGCAGCAGATTTGAGTGTCGCTGCTGTGGTCATATGTATATCTGCAGTATATTGTCTTCTGCAGCCAACCTGATTTGTACCGTTTTTCTTTCAAAAAGATCAATCAAAGCTGAAGAAATCCCATGTGTGAGTGTGTCCTTTCACATCCGTTACACTGGTGCCGTGACTCCTT